ATCAGTAAGGAGCAACCGTTACTATGGCGAAACGATGGTGGTAGCGCTAAGTCCAACACAGAAATGCATTGGCTCCCACCCACCCCAACCAACTCGTGGGTTAAACACTTCCTTTAAACTACACGTTTTGTAAACATCAGTTTCTTTCATTTTCCACTCACTTCTATAGTCACCGAATAGCAATAACTTCAATTAGATTTGATCTTCTGTTACAATAAAACTCTGTCTACTCATTGAACCATTATCCATCGTTTTAATCAACTGCAAGAAGACTTCTTAGTTGAAACAAACTAACCTTTATTTGCATATTCTTCAGCAACACTTCGTTGACGCTGTATAGCGGTTTCAAATGGAGGTGGATTTATAATAACGTGATAAATTTGCCTTATCTGTTCCTCATCCAAATTATCATTTGACTGAAAAGTGATACATAAAATTCTGTCAGTTACCTAAACAGCACCTCAGTGTTGTGAAGTTATATTGATCTGCAGTTGGCTAATTTAAGAATACTTTTTGCTCGTTATTCTGGTTCATTTTCCACGTATATATACATATATTTTTTTTGTATCACAGTGTATTTTGAAATTTATGGAAATCAAAGAAACGATTAAAATGGCGGATATATGTATTATAGAATAAAAATTAATTTTAACTCTCTGATACCATATATTTGATATTAATCAACAATTACACTTTAATTTACCAATATAAATTGATCAGCTGTCGCTGTAAGTTTAGAACTGTAGGCTTCGTCATCGAACAGTTTTGAAGATTTTCCAGCAATATATTTGCAAATCTGGATGATCAAGCATAACTGATATAATCGCATCGTTTATTCGGTTTAATGCCTTGAAAAAACGACACGGTTGAACAGATGATCAGTTTAGAAAAAAAACCACCAAATTATCACGTAAAACTGTTATAAGAATTTGTTATATACAGATAAGAACCGTTCCTTAGTTTTTCTTTTTGCAAAAACCTCAATAATAAAGTTGTGAGACGACAATGAACATCCATCTTATAAACGTTGATCCATGCTGAACAGCAGATAACGGCATACGTTTGACCAATAAAGTTTACAGTTCTTTGAAATGCAGTTCTGGCACAGTTTCGTCTTCTTTCTCATTCAAAGACAGAAGATGGATAAATAGAAAGAAAATTTGTCTTAGAATAAATATCTTTTATAATATTAAAACTGTTTGTAAAGAAAAAAAAAGAATCTGTAAAAATTACATTTTGCAAGTGATACCGTAAATTGTCTCCTGAAATAGGTAACTCTGTTTCTGACTGCTTAAAGAGTGTACAAAAAAGTTTGTTCAGAAAAAAAAATGATCCTTAAAAACTCGGAAAAACAGCAATAATAAAAATAAGTGATATTGTTTATTAATCGGTTTCATAAATATAAATAATCATATTTCAACCGGATAAAAGACGGTACAGATTTCTGGTAACTGTTAAAGAATGGTTGAAAACTGTCTGTAGATATGATTATATATTAGTAAATCTAAAAAAAAGAAAAAAGAAAAACTGCTCTACACGTTAAGTATTTTTGAACAATACTAAACTACAATTTTCTGTCTACAGTCTTCTTAGTTTCTTCAAATTTTACTCTTCCGTTTTTTTCTTTGGTAATATTCAAACAACCAGCAGAAACATTAAAGTTATGTGCTAAGCACTAATCAAATGTATTGTGCATGAAACATTTATCTTCTTATATTATTGGTATATATGATAAATTTGTTGTCCAATGTAAAACAAATAAAATTTTTTTTTTGTAATTCTGTAAGCTAAGCTTTTTTTTTTTCAGTTTCTATTTATTACATCCGATATTTAAAGCATTTGTCATTCAGATTATTTGTGCTCCACGTCTATTATCGTCTCATTCATAGTTTCTAAACAACGTGCAGAAAAAAAAAAAAAAAGAAGAACCTCAGAACTAATCAAAAGGTAATTTATTTGTTGTTGAAAATATGAAAAACTACTGAAAATAAGAATCTGTTTCATTCCAGAAAAAAAAAACAAAAATTAAGATAAGAAAAAAAAAGTATTTCTTTGATTTTTTTTTTTGGTTACATAAATTTGGGACAGTTGTAACAAATGGCTTTTTTTTTTTTTTGCTGTTTGTCTTTTCTTATTTGGTCCATTAAACAGATACCAAAAACTAAAAACAACAAAAAAAAAAAGCAGAAAACAACAATTAAATAACAACCAAACAATTAGATCATTCATTTTTGGCCAACAAATTTAAATTGACTGATGGAACAAACAGTTACTGAGCACTGTTCAAAATGCCAAAACTAATTGCTGCAATGACTGATCTGTTTAAAAAAAAGTTTTAGATTTTTTCCAAAACCTTCAAATACATATATCGGTTGGGTTTCTTTTTTTTTTCTTTTTACTAATTTTATCAACCAATATTATTCTGAAAAAAAATTTTTTTTTATTAAAAAAAGAAACATTGTAGAAAAAGTGGAAACATTTTGGTATTGAGGTTAATAGTGGTTTAGCAGTTTACACATACAACTCTCTTGAAATCTTAGTTTATCTTTGCCTTAACAACTGTGTAAAAGTTAAAAATTTTCAAAAGAAAAAAGACAATAATGTAGAAATTGAATCAGTGTTGTATATACCCACTGAGACCAAAAGTGTTAAACAGTTTTCTATTTTGAAGCCAACAGTTTAAACAAGCACTTTTTTTTTTTTACTAAAAAGGACAAATTGCAAATACAGTGCTAAAAAATGCAGGTGGTCATTAGTTTTTCAGAAAAAAAAAAATTTTTTTATTTTGTACATCACTTTTTATTTCTTCAATTTTTTTTTTTCCTCTTTTCAACAAAATTGTTTCGTTTTGAAAAGAGTAAACTGTACAGCAACAGTTATTTTAACCGCTTTTTTCAGTCTGTTTTTTGTTTTTTTGAAACCCAAAAAAAACAACACGTAGAATTAAATTTTTGTTGCAAAAAAAAAAGAAGGGAAGAAAATTATGTTTTGTTGACCAATGTTAAATTAACTTATAGAAGAAATAATTTGTTTACCTTTGAGCAACATAACTGTGAATAACATTTTTATTTTTAAAACAAAACGAATAATATTTGTTTATTAATAATTCGATTGATTAACAGACAGTTTGTTGTACATAAAAGTTAATGTTTTATATTCACTTACTGCAAAACTTTGATAGAATTTTATGATTTATAAATCTGAATTCAATTAAAAAAGACAACAAAAAAAAAAAAGAGCAGAACAAAGAAAATGACATTGTCAAAAATTGATATTTCCACCTATTCTCCTTTACTGATACTTTCTCAAAAGAGAGCAGTTTTTTTTTCGTCTCCGCTGCTAAGATGACTGATAAGGTTTATTTTGATATGTTTTTGCTGATTGAAACCCCGAACAGTTTTAATGGAAAATTTGAAAAAAAATAAAAAAAAGAAGCATTAAAAATTGGTGTCTAATACAACCTTAAAAGTATTTGAAGAAAAAAAAAAGCGTTGAAGAAAAGAACTTTTAAATGATGTAAAATTAAGAAAATAAACAACAGTTTATTAAAGTAACAACAGTATAAAAAACGATAAACGCTTTCTCATACTTTTTTTTTTTATTCACTTCAACAAACATGCAATATTTTAGGCAAAAAAAACTATTTTTTTTTT